CTGTAATTGGCAAGTGATCTATCTCCCTGTCTTTATCTCAACCCATGAGCTCTTTCATCCTATTTCCTCCCCGTGTCTTGTTGAGGATGCGGAGTGATGCTGGATGGGCATCTGGTAGCCAGCCAGCCAAGGTCAATCCACCACAAATACTTGGGTGCATATTTTCATGTCCATTTTAGAAGCTTCAAGCAAAATCTTTAGCATTGGTATAACTACAGATAGTGAATAGTTGCAAAGAAGGCAAAAGCCAAGCAGCTTTGGAAAGTTATGCAAACAGGATAGATTACGGCTGACATCAGATGACAATGACATTTCACTCAAAACTTTTTACTCATTTCATTAAAATCACTATTCAGAAGTTCTTTAGGCTTTATTTCATTAAGTCCATTTTAATCAATACTCACAAGCTTTCACTGTGAGATGTTTCACTCACCTTAACAATTCATACTTTCTGCTGTAACTAGCACTTGTAACACAACAGTCTTCTTCTAAAGACAAGAGTGAGGTGAGGGATAATGGAAGTCTCAGGTGAGGAAGACTTACCCTCAGTAGAGGAAGAATACATGGGGGAACTCTTAAACAAACTAAACATACGTAAGTTCATGCAATCTCAGGTGCTGAAGGAGCTATCCAAAGTCATTGCAAGGGCACACTCTTGGTTATCTTCAAAAGGTTGTGGCATGAGGGAGCTTTCCTAAGACTGAAAGCAAGCAAATATCATTCTTGTCTTCAAGAAGAGCAATAAAGAACACCTAGAGAACTACAAACCAATCAGCCTCACCTTAAGCCCTGACAAGGTGATGGAGCAATGAATCTGGAAATCATTTCCAAACTCATGGAGGACAAGAAGGTCCTCCATGAGCAGTCAGCATGGATTTATGAAGAGGAGATCATGGCTGACCAACCTGATTGCCTTCTACAATGTGGTGACTGGCTCACTGAATGAGGGGAGGGCAGTGGATCTTGAGTTTAGCAAGGTTTTCAACTTTTTCTCCCATAACATCCTTGTAGATAAAATGGTGAAACATAGAATAGGTAACTTGACAGTGAGGCAGACTGAAAACTGGCTGAATTCCAAGGGTTAAACAGTTGTGATTAGCAGCACAAAATGCAGCCAGAGGCCAGTCACCAGGAGTGCTCCCCACAGATCAATACTGTGGCCAATATTGTTTAACATCTTCATCAATGACCTGGACAATAGGACAGAGTGTACCCTCAGTAAGTTTACAGATGATACAACACTGTAAGGGGTGATATACTATATGGTTGTGCTGCCATTTAGAGACACCTCAGCAGGCTGGAAAAATTGGCAAACAGGAACCTCATGAAAGTCAACACAGGGCGATGCCAAGTCCTACAAATGGGGAGGAATAATCCCTGGCACCAGTACATACTGGGACCAAACATCTGGATAGCAGCTCTTCAGAAAAGGACCTGAGGTCCTGGTGGACCATGAGTTGACCATAAGCCAGCAAATAAGCCCTTTTGTCAAAGAAGGCAAACAACATCCTGACTAGCATTAGAAGAGCATTGCTAGCAGGTAGAGGGAATCAAGCCCTCCTCACTACTTTTCATTGGTGAGAAAATCTGAGGTCCTGAGTCCAGTTCTGAGCTCCCCAGAAAGATGATGGACCTATGGGAGCAGTTCTGGCAAAGGGCCACAAAGATGACTAGGGGACTGAAGCACCTGTCATACTAGGAGAGATAGGATTGCTAAGCCTCAAAGAGAGAACGTTCAGGGAGGAAATCTTATCTATGTGCATAAATACCCAATGGGGGGGAGGTGTGAGGGGATGAATGAAGACAGAGCCAGACTCTTCTAACAGTGCCTAGTGATGGGACAAGACACAACAGGAACAAACTGGAATTCAGAAAATTTTGTTTCTACTTATGAAAAAAAACTTTTCTACTCAGATTGAAAAACTGGAACAGGTTGCCCAGGAAGACTGTGGAGTCTCCATCCTCGGAGCTACTCAAAACCCAAGTGGACGTGGCTCTAAGCAACCCACTTGAGTTGACCCTGCTTTGAACCAGGGTGTTGGACTAGATGATGTCGAGGCATCCTTTCCAGGCTCCACTACTCTGTGATTATTTCCTTCTTTTCTGCCAGAATTAATATTCCCAGTACAGTTTTTAAATTATTTTTTTAACATTTTCTTTCTAGTGCATGAGCTGGAAGCATGAGCTTTATAGAAAGGTACACAAAGGGGTTCTGTGACAGTTGTCTGTGGAGCACATAAAACCAGTCCATTAGAAAGGAATAAAAAGGATCAAGGAAGAAAAAAAAAAGGCAATAGATATAAAGCACAGACTAGTAAGCAGTAAAATGAAACCTACTAGCAAGTAGTGTTATCCATTCTCTTCTGAATTTTCTACTTAGAGCACAAAATATTTTCCTTACTGATTTTATTATATTGGAGGTGAGATATGCAGCAGTAAATGCAGAGAGGATGCTGTCCCTCACACTAAACAACATGCTGTCTGGTATCAGCACATTTTGGAAGAGAATGGACTTCCCTATTACAGAAGTACATTGAGGTTTTAGAATTTTAATAGTAAGCCTTATACTGCTGTATAATTCAACACAGAATTGCTTAATCTTGCTTTTTTTCTTTCTGTCTCATTGTACTGGGAATATTATTCTCCTTCCAAAAGGCTGGTTTTTTCCTTGCAGATTGGCTAGGTAGTGCATGGGAATGGAATCATGAATGCCTTACACATATTCTTTTACACCCACTGTCCCACTGTAAGATGTCACTGACACTAGTGGAACTGTCCCTTATGTTTATAGACACATGAAATTAGAATTCTGTTCAACATGAAGCCTATACTGAGAATCAACCTCTGTTATCCACTCCTTCGAGCAATATATTGGATTTCAGACAATGACATTCTATGATTTTACTGAAAAATGCCTCTTGTAGACAACTATCTTTCCTGGAATTTCAGCAGTTCCTTATAGTGGGCTTCACTGGGAATCCTGGAAGACACAATGTCTTGATAATTCATGCAGTGAACCTCTGAAGAAGTTGTTTGTTATACTCCTTACTGTGTTCCAGTCCATGTAGCTAGCCAATATATATAGGAAAAGTGACTTGCTTAAGTGGTGAACTACTGAGTGTGCTTTCAGGCCTAAGATGGGCTCTTTAGTGAGTGAGTTCAGCACTGGCACTCTTAAGTTAAGCAGGTTATAGAATTTTGGCCACCAAAGCATAAGAATCTCTGGACAAGATTATGGCATTTTTAAAGAAAATTAAAATTCACGTATTTTGGATTGTGATGCATATAAATGAGTCACAAAACAAAACTGAGCAACTTTGAAAATATGTAACTTCTAAATCTTTTGGAAAACAAAGACAAAAGTGAAAGGGAAAAAAAAATCAAGTGCCCTGGATACAGACAGCAAACTTCATAATAATAAATATTTGTAAGAGTGTCTGGGAAAATACTTATATCCTTCCATCATTATCAATTGCTCAGTTTTGTTTAATAATCAGACCTAGCTCCACAGAACTAAATAAGGCAGTAATCACCATGAGACGATCTGTACTCTAGACGGTCAAGTAAACATAATTCAAACAGTCATAGTGTTATTGAAGGGGACTTCAGTACATTCATACTTTACCAAACTTTAAGAAAGAAGACAAACATATTTAAATGTCACTGTTTCCTCACGTCTTACAGAAATGCAGATATCCTGGGTTGCATATACAAAATGAACCTCTATTTTATACTGTATTTCAACATAATAATAGCTTTCACTTAAACAATGAGATTTTTGGATCTCTAAACAAAATAAACAAAATACAGCAAACCCTGACACCCTGGAAGTGTCTGAGACCAGGCTGGATGAGGCTTTGGGCAACGTGGTCTAGTGGAGGGTGTCCCTGCCCGTGGCAGGGGGGTTGGAACTAGATGATCTTTAAGGTCCCTTCCAACCCAAACCATTCTATGGTTCTATAATTCTGACCTAACAAACAGTATTTCCTTAAACTAGACCATCCACCTACAAGTAAAGAATATTATCCTGAGGACTCTGTCAATCATTAGGGGAAGCTTCTAGCTCTGAATTCAGTAACTTTTAGAAGTTTCCCAAATCGGGAAGTACCCTAATATCCTTGCTTTTCAAAGAGCAATCAATCTTTTCATAGGAGCTATATTTCACTTCAAAATTACTGTTTCCTGATTAGACACATTTAATAGAGGCAGCAGATCATTCTTGTGTTAGCAAGGCTATGCAATCAGATCAACACTGAGATACAGTTATCTCAGTGAATGCTCTTTCCACACAGAATATATAAGGCAATAACATTTAGCTTAATCCTCTTATGCTTGTATTTACAGAACATTTAGGCCTGGCTGAGACTTGCTCAAAATTCAGCTGCTAACACCGGATGCACATTCAGCAAATCTTTTAAGAGCAGATTGGACTTGTCAGAAATAGCTTAGGTATACTTTTAACCTGCCTTGGGACTGGGAATGGATTTCATAACTTCTTGCAGTCCCTTCTAGGACATTTTGTATCATAATAGATGATACATTTCACCTGCTTAAAATAACAGGAGGGTTTTTTTCGGTTTTTTGGGTTTTTTTAAATGCTTGTTTAGTACTGAATTAGTACTTTATCAGTTTTAAACTTCCATAACTTTCATAAGAAGGGCTGCCAGATTAGGCTGTAAACCATTATTTACTAAGACAAAGAGGAAGGTACTTTGAAAAGGAATTACCAGTCAAGTGGTTTTACGCTTAAAAAGATTTAACCTACTTCTTTCTTTTCCAGGCTGACTTAAACTACTTTCATCCAAGAAAAGGCTCATAAAATTAGTCCAGGTAAGATCAAAATATCATTGAAACTACTTAAAACAATGAAGCACATAAGAGCTTCTAATTTTCGCAATCGTTACCAAAAGACTTCACAATTATGGAATTGCTAAGGAGTACAAAATAGGGAAATAACTAATGTAATGACGAAGGTGATACAAATAAATGTTTCATCTTACTTGTCCAGGGCTGTGCTGGTAGGCATGCTCCTACCAAATCCTCGGACACCCATCTGACAGAAGTATGGAATACAAGACAGATTGGCAGCAATGATAGCCAATGAATCTGACGCATTAACAAAGAAACCATTTTGGCCAAGGATCATGTAACGGTCCTGGAAAAGACAAGAAATTCAAAAAAGGGATCTTAAATCTTATGTTTGGGGGAGTGGTAATTTCTTTGATTAAATACACTGTAGATAGGGAAAAAAAAGAACAGGCTTTGGGTTTCCTTGCATCCCTCTTTGGGCAGAATAATGTATTGGCACCATCCTGGCAGGTATATAATCTCACTGTCACACCATCACTCCCTCCAGCCTTGCAAATCAAAGTTCCAGATCCATCCATAGTAGCTTCAGCCTCCTACATGCTACTTTAGTAGGTCTGTTTCTGCCAGGGAATGCTTGTGTAGGAGAATCTTTTTGCCAATGACACACTCTATGCAGGGAGTAGGAGGGTGTTTTGTGTTTACTGACAACAGAAAACAGCTTCTGTTCTTCAGAACCTTTTCATCTTTCTCCCACCCTGTCAGAACAGAAAGCTGTTTTTGCAATACTTCACTGTTTATACTGCTGAATTATCACATTAAAAAAAATTGAAACAGATGATTCAGTGCTTTATTTAGCTAAAAATCCTTCATTTTATGGTGTTAACCAAGAAGTACTTAAATTAGTTACTACTTACTGTGACAAGTCCATTTCATCTATATATGCTGTCTCTTCCTAACCAGGGAATAAAAGTGTTACACCAGTACGAGATAAAACCAGCCTAATATTTAAAGAATTCTCATTCTGAATTCAAATCCTGCTTGATTTGCAGTCATCTGCAGAGACAAATTACAACATATGTGTCTGATTTATGGGTTGTAAATGCTATCATCTGTACCTGAAAGTAATATCGCTTTCAGCTTTGAGGGCTTACTGAAAAGCAAATAAATTATACTTACATGTCCCATATCTGACCCCAGACAAAACAACAACTACGGCGAAACCTCTAGACAGATCAAAATACTTACTCCGTCAGCATCAAAAGCAGCTCCAAATCCATACTCTCCACCTCTCATAGCCTCCAGCAAGGCAGTTGCATATGTTAAATTGGGATCAGGAGGCTGTCCTCCAAAATCCTCCAGAGGAATACAGTTTATGGCAGAATTTGCAGGAGCTCCCAATTCATCACACAGGATTCTTCTCACATAAGGTCCCATAACTGCAAAAACAGAAATCTGCCGTGCAATCACAAAAGCGTATGCTTGACATTCAAATTTTTCACAGCACCATGGAGACTTGATACAAAACATATTTTCAGCAATTCTATACATCTGTTCTAGAAAAAAAAAAAACCCAAACCCAAACTACTATTTCACAGAGGAGTATGTGATTGTCCCCCCAGTAAATAATCAATTGGCAATTCAGCATTAAAAATACAGTTCCTCATTAGTGGAAGTGTAGAAGTAATCACTCAATGGTGAAAGATGCAAGTTTTATTTACCCATTATTAAGTAAAGAAATGATCATACACATAGAGGGTTTTTACTCACTGGAATAAAAATAAGATGGTATTCTATGTGTCCTGGAATGCAAAAAACAGTTTAACACATAATAGCAAGGAAAGTAAACAGTAGGGAAATACAAATGGGAAATAAATTTACCTCGACATTCTAATTCATATTAAAATTACAACAGGTTTGTCCACCAAAGAATGTTGCCATATTTTAGTTACTACCATGTAGATAATAAATAAAAACTTTCTCAAAACTAACTCCAAAATAACTTCTTTATTTTGTTAAGGATATGACCAACTAAGACCCCAGCTCATGCTATTATATATCATAATTATTTTATGCAATGCTGTGGGGTATCCCAAAACATCACTCGGGTTCATTTTGGAGCAGCATTTTATTTTACCTATATTCTCGATTAACATCTCGGGCCTTTTCTTTCTGTCCTGATAGAAATTTCCCACTCTAATTTTAATCCCTGAATGAAAGTATATAATGTTCTATCCTTTAATCAATGAATTTTCATTTTAAACAACTATAAGTAATATTTTCTAAGTATTAATAGCAAATTTCTATCATTTCAGATTAGAAATAAAAGGATTCTCAATACATACACACCTTGCAATGTAGTCATTATCAAACTGTACAGAACATTGTTCAACCCCACAATCAAATCTTTTGCTTCTATGGACAAACTATAATGTTCATTGTGTATGAAATCTACACTTGTGCATTCAGTGGCTGAAAAGACGCTAACAACTGATGCTGAGCTCTCTGCATCCCTGAGGCACATGTGAACAGGTCTCTCAGAGGTAAAAAATTCATGAGTGAGCTTACTCTCTCGTGCTCTCTCTTCCTCCTGCCTTATTCCCAAATTTTGCTGAGTGCAGCAACTGTAACCTGAGGTAAAACTATGTGAGAAACCTGTGTTCAAGAAAATGTAGATGCTAATTTTGTAAAATACACAGTAAACAATTATTCAGGTTTTTATTAACAGTAGACTCCTGACAAATTACTCTTTTCTATGCCAATGTTAAACTGTCAATGTCTACAGGCATAAAGGCATATTCCAGAGCTGCAGAGCTAAAACAAACTTTGGAAGACAGTTGGTCCATGCACACATGCAGTCCTCTCTAATGTTCAGTATATTGTGGCTGGTGACTCACTTTTGGCTAATGCATCTCATCCAGAGAGTCTTTTGATCTGGTGCCACCAATGTCTGTGTCCATGTTTGATGGACAAACCCCAACTATCTTTGGTAGATTGCTCAAGTGGTTGGTCAATGTTACTGACAAACATGTGAGCTACATTTCAATTTGAATTTGTCCGGCCTCAGCTTCTCACTATTGATTCTTTTTGGTAATAGAAGACTGAGAAATAGTTTTTCTAAAAAAAAAAAAAACCCAAACCAAAAAACCCCACAAAACCCAAAACAAACTTCCTCTGCTGTAGAAACAAATATTCTCGCATACGCTTACTGTATGTATACTATGTATTATAGTATGGCTATTTCTCCACCAAGATACAAAGTCATAAAGCCAATTCTCTATTACCTCCGTAAGTAAAGTAAACAAACTCAGTCCTTTAAAATTTTTGTGATGCATCAGTTTTTCTAACCCTGAGCCAAACTATGCATCTCTTTAAACTCGTGCAAAATTTTTCAACACTCAGTTACAGATCTGGACATCAGAGCTCTACACACTATTTGAGTAACATTCTCTTCAGTACCGTACGTGTCAGGAGGCAGTGCCTTCCCCATTGCTCTGTCTGCATGGTTCAAGGACACCATCTGCCCTTTCGCCACAGCCTGGCAAAACTGACTCTATGCGCCCTATAATCTTTTGCCACAGCCTGTGAACTGGGCGTTCACATTGACTGCGTGCCCGCTATGATCTTTTGAACAGTGACTATCACACTGTACTAGATAAAATGCATTACAAAAGCTTTGTGAGTCTATCCAGCTCCCCTTATCAGTCTGTTTTTGTAATCCTATTAAAGAATGAAACACGGTTTGTTTGATGGAATTTGTTTTCCATAAGATAATGTTGAACGGCATTACTTACATTCCTATCCTTCGACTTGTTATCTGTAGAAATCTTTATTTATTTTTTCACAATGTAGCCTAAGATAGATCTCAGAGCGATCTGTTTCCCCAAGTGACACGGCTTATAATTTTTTAACATTGGCACAAAATTGGTCCCCTTGCTGTCTTCTGTGTCACTTTCTTGCCCCCAGTATACTGGAATTTTTTAACAGTTAATGTTAGACAGAGGTTTCGGCCAGCTCTTTAAGGACTCTTGGGTGCAATTTGTTCAGACTTAACTAATTTTATACCATTTAGAATTTATTCTTAGTAGAGATTGCCTTGCAGCCTCCTTTGATACTGCACGCTGCAACTTACTTCATCACCCTCTCATGGCAAGATTACCTCATCCTGCTTGCTTCCAAATGCAGAAAGAGAATATTTATTTGACACATATGCCTTCACTTCTTTATCAAGTAAGATAAACCTCATTGCCTAACAAGGGACCTAGCCTGTTGTTAAGATTGCCTATGTTACTAGTACAATGTTCAAATCCTTTCTTATTAGCCTTACTAAACATTCTGACTTTTATATGCTGTACCTTTACTGGGAAACTATTGCAGTGTACCTACAATTTTGTCCTGATAACAACTTCCGTTCATACCTCCATTCATGGCATCAATCCTTATTTTAATCTGGTTGGGTCCAGTCAGCAAATTTCTGATCGCGTTGAAGTCAAAGATAGTTCGAAGGAGATTGAGGTAGATATCCACAGAATCCACAATTTCCACTAGAAAAATTAGGTAGAAAAAAACTTGCTACAGTTCACACATAGGAAAATATGTCTTCTAGCACACTTCCAGCAGCCATGCACCTCAACTAAAATCAGAGCATGCGACCTCTACATAATATAGATTTGCTCTGAAGCCCAGAGAAGCAAAGTCAAAGACTTCCACTGATTTCAGTGTGGCTACTGTCAAGCTCTAAGCCTTGCAAAGATCAACAGTTTTGCCTGCTAAAGGACTGCAGAGATAATGTAAGTTGACAGTTCCTATTTCACTGAAAACATTAATGAGACTACATTATATCAAAGTAAACTATCATTCACTAAATCACTGAACAACTTTTCAAGCTAATCAGGTTTATTCTCAGAGAATAAACGATGTCCATGCCAAGTTGAAGCCACAGATTCTATCCTTCCATCTGACCGCAGCATCTGTCTGCATCATTCTATCAGGAGAGACATACAGCCTATTCTTCTCAGTTTTGGCACCCGGAATCTCTGTCTTGAATTTGTTGTCCATCCACCACTGTACTTTTACATTTTATATCTCACTGATTTAGGAAAGTTAGGTTCAGATACAACATCTGTGTTATGCTAATGTATTGCTCATTTGAATTCTAAATTCATAAAAGCAGAGAACTACAATTCTTCTAGTTCTTTTGGATGTAAAAAATTAAACTAAAATAAATTAATTGAAAGCAAGTCTGTCATAATGAAAGCAGTTACCAAACAACTGTCAAAAGCCATGTTTCTCAGTCATCTTGGAATGTACTACTTTTCCTGATTAAATTAAAAAGCATATGGTATACAAATGTCTTTTTATCTGGTTAAATGACTATCGAAATATTTTAGTTACAAGTTAAATTATTACTTAGAATATCAGCCAGTTCTCCTGAGAAACACTGACCTCACCCTAATGCTGCTCTTTAGGATAACACGAAAATGACAGAGACATTTTTTGAGCATGAAAAAACCACTTAGAATGGATTGTGAAAATACACTTGAATGGAGAAACAAAACAAAAAAAAGGTTCTCAGGGCTGAAAAACAAATTGTAAAACCTATTTGAAAATAAGTTAATTTTATTGTACATGTTGAAAGTCTCAAGGATTTACTAAAATTACATTACTGCGTATCTTCTATGCCTTGCTTCTAACAATATTTAAGTGGGCTCTATGCCTTACACATACGAACAAGTGCCTCAATTTCAGTGGAGCTGCTCATACATGTTAAGATAAAGTGCATGCAGGTTTAAAGTCTAAAAATTATTTTAGCTCCTTCAAAACCAAATTGGTTTATTCTCAGTTGCTTCGACACCACTGTAGTCTTGATTCACAACAATTAGTTCATAAAACTGAAAAAGTCTTAAATACATCAGCTAGTATCTTAAAATACTTTTCAAATTATTTGCTTTCTTTCTGCACTTTCATTCTGCCTTTAGACCTGTGTAAACTATACTTATTCATGCACTTGTGAGCCAATCACATTGTTTCAGTAGGGATCCCTGGCAGTTCTACCGTCCCAGTACAATTGACGTATTCTGGGAAAAGATGATTGGGAAATCATGTTTCCTTAGAGAAACATTCAGACAATTTGCAATTATTTTTAATCTATTTTCATACTACACGTTTTTTGATTTAGAAAAATACAATTTGAAGAGATTAAAAAGTTGAAAAAGCAAAATTTAAAATTGTGGCAGTCATCCAGAGTGGTGCTGGAGCTGAACTTTTTTTACTTTTGTTTGCCTAAAAAGTCAAATGTGTTCTTTGTAATCAAAAATATAATTTAAGATTTTTTCTAATCAAAAACTTTATTTATTGAAATGTAGTTTGTCTCAAAAAAATAATGTTTTGGTGGAAAATAAACTGGCTTTAAGTCTAGGACATCTGGAATGAGGAAGAGTTCTTGAGGCCACACAGAGTTTTACAGTATTTGAAATACTGTCTGAACCCCTTCCTTTGCTTTTGACTCCTTCAGGACAAAACAGCTGTGTTAGCTCATTTTAAATCCAGTATAGGTATAAAAGTATTCACACTCTGAAAATTAAACATGTGCTTAAACACTCTTTTTACATTTGGAGTCACTGGATGTATAGTGCCTTACACATTCCACAGCTTTTTAGAAAGTGTGAGCAAAAAAATGAACAAACTGAGACTCATACAAACTCTTTTGTCAATTAGACTTACATAAGCAAACCATTACTAGTCACAAAAAGGTTGTGTTTGGTCTTGAACTACTAGCAAGCCTAAGCACATATATTTGGCAAAGGTGTTTGGCTAAATGATAAGGGCTGATGCACTTAAAGTCTGTAACTCAGCTTCCTTACGTGCAAAACAAACACAACACTTACCTATACTGCCTAACATTTTGAATCACTGAGGCTGGAAAGGACCTTTAAGATCATCAAGCCCAACCATTAACCTAACACTGCCAAGTCCACCACTAAACCATGTTCCTAAGCCCCACATCTACACATCTTTTAAATATCTCCAGGGATGGTGACTCCACCACCTCCCTGAGCACCCTGTTCCAATGATTGACAACCCTTCTGGTGAAGAAATTTTTCCTAATATCCAATCTAAGCCTCCCCACAATGGTACAACCTGAGGCCATTTCCTCTTGTCCTATTGCTTGTTACTTGGGAGAAGAGACCAACACCCACCTGGCCACAACCTCCTTTCAGGTAGTTGTAGGGAGCAAGAAGGTCTCCCCTCAGCCTCCTTTTCTCCAGGCTGAGAAACCGAACCCCAGAACTGAACACCAGTTCCCTCAGCCGCTCCTCATAAGACTTGTGCTCTAGACCTTTCACCAGCTCCGTTGCCCTTCTTTGGACACACAAACTTGTACTAAGGCATTTTGAAGAATTAAAGTTCTCTTTAAATAATTACCCATTATCATTCTGCAGCTATTCTAATACTTAGAATCAATGGATATAGCATGCATAAAAGCACACATTGATACCTCGGAAAGGTTTGAATTTGTTCTCCAGATCAAATTCTTGTCTTCCTATGCGTGATAAATCAACTCTGAGATCGGGACAAATGGCATATTCCTCCAAGGTTTTGCTGATTTGATAGATTTTATCTGAAACTATATCTGGAGCAGGTCCTATAAGAAAAAAGAATGTGGTGGGTCATTATTTTTAAACGTAGTTTCCCCTACTTAAAAAGTGAGTGGTATAGCAAACATTTTTCTGAATATATTGAAGTTATTAAGAAATATACCCAAACAAAGAACTATAGTAAATGAGGTCTTTTCTTTCAGTGTAACATAGGTTTAAAACATTTTTTGAAAAAAATATAACATGGAAATTCAGTGGTTACTTGCAACATTTTTGTTCACATAGAGCATTTAAATCAATCGTTATCCAGGGCAGGGGGAATGAGGGAACCAAAAAACCCACAGCCATCTTTCTTTGGGTTTATTGCTCAAAACCTGCCATTTTTCACTCTAAACAGAATCTCAACATATATATTAAAGGAAAGCCTATCCTTCAGCAGCAGTTTCTGATGTTTCACAGAGCTTCCTGCAAATGCACACTTGTGAAGGTGAGATAGTTTTGTGTTTCACATAATTTCATTATATATAATTATAATTTTAAAAGTCTTATGAGTCTGGCAGTGGTGTTCTCTTGCAGTTTTTCTCCAATGGCTTAATGAAATATATCTTTGTTAGAATTCAAAATCCCTTAATTGCTTAACAAGCAATTAGGACCTGGAACAATTATGTCATTCAGAAACAGAAATCACATCTTACTTGTGCGTTACTTTTACTGCCAAATCCTGAAGACTGGCTCAATTTTTAAAGATTTACTGTCAATCAAATAAAAGTTGCAGGCTTGATGCAAAAACTACCAGATAAGCTATGTCATATATAGTGCAAGAGTTGAGTATGCGATACAACAAAATTCCTTCCTGTTTATCTGACTCTTCATTGCTTATATTAAAGCCACACTTCCACTCTGAAAAAATTACTTCCTTTATTCTCTTTTATGTGCTCCCTCTCCTAATCCAGAGCCTCTGCCTCTTCCATGCTAACTTCCCACTCTTCTAGCAATGCTGCTATATTCAGCGCAGCTTTGTAAATTAGGGTGTTCCATCTCAGATGCAGTGTACCAGATGGTTCAAAGTAACACTGTAAGTAACAGTCATTTAAGTCTTCATTTGGCTTAGAAAATTACTTCTTACTCATCTGATCCAAACCCATCCAAGGGGTGAGGACAGGTTTCATTAGGTCCAGATCATCCTTGACAGATGGATGATATTTCCAGCTAAGGAGATCCCACAGCATCGCTCTGCATTCTCTCCTACAGCTATAGAAACAAACTGTTTTTGCCTGACCTGGATCTGCAAAATAGACTGAGCAAGAATGCAGGCAACAATAGCCTTCCCTAGGAGCTTGTCGTGATGCCTAACCATTCTCTTAGTTCAAAAGACTTGCCTAATACTTAACCCACATTTTCTCAGCTGCAACTTAAATGAACTACTTTTCATTATGTCCTGCCGATTATCATAAATAATTGAACTTTGTGACCTGTGCCTGAGGAGTGTTTCATATTTAAAGCTTAATAGCCTGTTTGAATTTTCTTTTAAAAGGCAAAGCACACTAAAAAGAATGCCCCACCAGCTGTTACCCATTTATCAAACAGATTTTAGATGTATGTGGTGTTTTAAAGTTTATAGAGTGCTAATGCATCTAATGGTTTGGCTCTGGTATGTTTGTGCTGTGACCTTGGCTTTCTCACCGTCTGACCTTACACAGTTCCTTTAATCTCTTTGGGATTCAAGCCTATTCTGTTTATAAAATCACACTGGTTTAGCCATGCACGTTTTTCAATTAAACAAGGGAAAAGCATCCCCTTCTCAAGTTCTCCCACCTTCAAAATGGGGAAAGGAAACACGGTTTCAAAAGCACTTTCATTTTTTTTCAGATAGAAAGCACTCTACATGTGTGAGGTAAACAAGGTGTCAGCAATTGTCACTGTGATGTTGTATGGGTGTACACAGATCTATAACATAAAACATTCATAATGTATAACATACTTACATGTGTTAGCTTGCTGATTTTGGAAAACAAGACATTAGCTATATACACGAATTCCGTAATTCAACAGTGGAACTGCAACAGTTAAAATGGTACAACCCTCTCCCTGGATAAAAGCAGTTATTTCCTGGGTAAACTTCTTCTATACAAGACAATGAGTTATACTGCTTACAGCACTTACGAAATTGCACACTTTAAAGTAAATGCCAAGACAAGCAACACAGAAATATGAGCAAAACAGAGCTCCCTCACAGGCATCTTTATAAAAGGATCAGAACTGTTACAATGATCTGGCAGACTACATAAAATGCTATAAAAATGGGATGGCAAACCTCCTATTTATAGAAATCTTACAGCTACCACAAGGACTTCAGTGAACATTCAATTCTTATTTTACAGACACATGTAAACAAATACACTCCTATTACTGGGGGGAAAAGAAAGAGATATGCATACGTTCTTCACAGTTTTAACAGAATAAACGAAAAACACATAGTTAAAGTCAGCTAGTCATCCTTGTCAGCATATTTACATCATACTGAGATGCAATGCTGTAACGTGCTACTAAAATAAAACCACCTACCTCCATTGGCAACCTCAAACTTGACTCCAAACTCTCCTCCAGGTCCCCCAGGACTGTGGCTAGCTGTTAGAATAATGCCACCAGCTGCTTTGATCTTTCGGATGATACATGAAACAGCAGGTGTGGATAAGATACCATTCTGCCCAATAACCAATCTGCCGATCTAGGCGGAAAAGAAAGTCAAAGTACTCTGACTGGTGCTAAACTTTTGAAAATTAATAAGCACACACACAGACAGGTATACATGTATGGGATAGAAATTGTAAAGTCCTAGTATGGAACCTATTCGTTTGCAGGGAAATATATGTATACGAGTTGGTTGCATGCTAATACAAAAAATATTGTACCCTGGCACATTTAACCCCAGCGGCATGTGTACTGACAGTAAAGAAAGAGCACAGCCATGGTAGCGATTTGCAAAGCTCCCAAGCATAGGACCACCTACGATCCTGGTAGCAAACCTTTACAGGTATCCCTACGAACCAGCAAATCCCCTCAAATATCAATATAGTTTAGGGCTGACTGTGTGGATGCTGTTTGCAGGGTTGGGACTTTAGCTCCGTAAGAGAGAACAGCAAGCAAATGGCCTTTCACGGAGCAGCCTTTCAGCATAATCACAAATATCACTACATACTAGGACCTGTAGTCTCTGTGAGTCACATCTCTATTACCAAGACACCCTTGGATGTCCTGCCCTATCAACCATATCAGTGACTCCTTGGCTATTCCAGATGAAGAGGGTATGTTTCCCAGGGCACAGCTGACTGGGGGAAGTTCCCACCATTCTTAAAGTAAAAAAAGCTTTCAGGTGGTTTTATTAAACACTGACTCAATGTGTTTGGTATTATGTGCAGTTTCACTGCAAGGTTCCAATTTCAAAACCTTGCCTTTATCCCCTACACAGATACTACAGTTTCAGCTCAACATAAATAATCTAGGAGCAAACCAGAAATGTATTTACAAAGAAATATAAAAGAGTTCCAGTTCCTGGGAAACAGACAGATACAAAAAAAGGAGGGGAGAAGGGGAGGCTAGTGTCACAAACGAGAACTGAGGCAGCTGCATATGGAGTTTAAAAGGATATTGCCAAAGCTGGTTTGTTTTTTTTTAATATCCTCACTTAAAAACAAACAAACAAACAAACCCCGCACCACTATTGAGTAGTAGTTTGGGAAGGAGAGGGACAGAGAGAGGAGGTGGGGGCAGGGGAGGGAGAATACCGAATCCTTCCTACTCCCCATCTAAAAGCAGACTGGCAGTTCAACCTCAGATTTCCTTCTCCAGTTTGAGGGAGATTTGATAGGTCTACTGTCTGTGTGGCAAAGCAACGGCACAGGAGCTGCCTGCTGTCACTACCTGCCTTCTTTCTATAAAGAGCTATTCCTTCATGAACAGATGACCTTCTGCTGGGTTCAGTGCTTGTGAGAGGCCCTGAATGGTTATTTAGAAGTGGGGTTCCAAATTATTTCAGAAAAACAAAGGATTAATACATGATTTATTTAGCTTGGCTTTGTGAATAATAATAATAATAGTAGTAATAATAATAGATTTCTACATTGAAATTATCAACTTCTAAAGATATTTTTTTGCTAACCCTCACAAAGCACAAACTATGGTTAGACATTTCTCTTTCACCGACAATTACAAGATCTGCTTTCAAATTTAAAAAAATGTGTAAAAGAACACATTCTATTAACTGAGATTTCTACCTCAAGATTTGATGATAGACTGATTCTTTGTCTACCTAGTTCTCTTTTCAAAGTTTTTGCAGATAATTTTGAAGCCTATGGATTGTTGCTAGAAAGCAGCAAAGCTATCAAGATTCTAATACAGTTCATGGAAAATCTTCAAGGCTCTTTTGACTTGCTCATGCTACTGTTGGGAAAATGTTGTGTTTCACTGTCTTTTTTTTCCTCCCAGGTTTGAACAATTCTGAAGGAAGTGAGAAAAAAAGAAAGTTAAGAAACAAAAAATTTTGGTTTCTCCTTTTTCTACTATAATGAAAATATTTTCCATGGACAACAAGTATCGTTTCCAGGAGAAAAAAATGCAGATCAGCAGAATCAACACTTTCTGTTTCAACAGATTACTTTAAAGCAGTGCTTCCACTGACATGGTCAGTGAAGGTGAAGTGTATATACAGTTAACACATATACCACACAGCTGAACCTCACTTCTGCTCAATTCAGTGGTATTGAACAATTTTATTTCCTATTTAAGCCTAACAACACAGTTTCATTAATTTACAACTGAATGACTTAAAGCAATACCATCTTCCTTATTGTTGAACCTGATGCCAACTATACGATAAATACCTTTGATTATTTGTGGAACAAAACAGACCAGTGAATACAGTTTTCCTTGAAGAACAGATTAAACGTTCTGTTTGTACAATGTGACAGCATTTACTTGCAAGACTCTGTATCACTTTCTGACTCTATGTCTCTCCTGCCTTCCCACTCTTGCTTCTCCCTGAAGGTGAAACTAAGCAGTAATTTACAGCACATGTATTTGTAAATCTCTCCATTTATAATAATTTACAGACCATAGGAGCAACAATAAAAGTGTATTTCCTCCACTCCTAGCAGCAAGCCAAGTGAAGAAGCTGATGTTATTTCACTGATTACAGAACAAAATTGGTATCTCTCTTACTGATCAGACTTCTTCACATTTATGTAATGTTCTTCCCATCTTTTAAAACTTTTTAAAATCTCCAAATGCTACATTTACATTTTATTTATTCAACTACTTTAAATACTAAACTACTTCAAAAATACTTTCTATACAACCCTACTTGTTATCACAGAAATGCAATTCCTACACTGTGGAATAAAGAAGACCTTTTTTTTTTTTTTCCCCAGCAGAAGCATTTCCAGTTGTTGTGGGCTGACAACTGACAGACGCACTTTTACCTCAGAAAATGTGAAGGATAAAACTCCATCCATCAGGAGAGGCACTGAAATCACTAGGAGTTCTAGCACATGCCTTCACACACTTTTAGAATCAAGCTCAAGAAAGAAAACTTTCCATTAGTCGCATAATTTACTTTTTTATTTAAACCACTGCCATGTAAATAATTCGAAGGAGAAACAGAGGATTTTTTTCAAATTGTATTGAATGTGTGTCCTATTATGGCTTCTTTTCAGCCCATGAAGCAGCTTTTGGACAACATGCCATGTCTTGCAAGACTGTTATATTAATGCTGTCATTTAATCACTATTGCCAATTGCACTGAAACGTAAGAAAAAACACAGAACATTGGTAAATAGACTAACAAACTTTCTTCCAGTCTATACAACAGTCTACCCATGTACCTTTATTAAAACATGATAGCTTTATTAAGAAAAGCATGATAAAAATAAATACTGAAAATGTTTGTTTTGAATATTATCTCTCCCTTTTTAAACTATGAAGCATGTAGAAAGCTAGCGCAATGACTCAATCTTCCAAATACAGCTGTCAGAAATGAGTGCCAGCTCTTAAAACAGTATTGTGTGTGGGTAAGCACAAGGAAATGACAGAAATTACATTTTGCAAAATGCCTGAAAACAGCACTGAATCTATATTGAGGAACCCAAGTATAAATACATTTATTCTCGCAAACAAGCTTATTATGAGCACATATTTTCTGTACTTGTAAATCTAAACTAGTAAGGTTTCCATTTTTGCCCTCATGCACACCAAAACTGTTTTTTTTTAAAGTAAGTAGAATACTTAGATTATTCAGAATGCACAAATTACCTGGCACTACCCCTTCACCATATGTCCATTTTTTTCCTGTTCAACAGATGTTGCACAAATCAGTTTTCCCATTTTTCTGGATGCCCAATATTAATATGAACAGGAGTAATTTGCTTTGCCTTCAGCATTTGTCACCAGGCTATTATTTCTATACTCCTTAGAAATATTATTCATTGTACTAATTTCTATACTATAGAAATACTGCAATATTTAGTATTCTAAATTAGAGATGTTGAAAGTGAAATTACATGAATGATACACATTTTATTTGCAGTGACTACTGCAAAGAGCTTCACCTTCTGTGAAGGTCTTCAGTGCTTTTATGAAACTCCCTGATGACAGTGCAGACCTTAGAAGTCTACACATGCTACCCACCTTCCTCTGCTCTCTTCATTTTGGTGGCAAGTATGGACAACCTCATCCTCTCTTGGCCCAGAAGCTATTCATTTTGTCTCTGAACCAAATACTAAACTGACTTTTTACTAATTGTAAGCAACAAACTCTCAGATTTACAGACTTCTCACAAACTGGGCTAAAACAGTTACCAAATAATGTCTGAGTATTGACTCACAATTAAAGTTCCAGTAATATCATTCCGAAAATCTTGGACAGTTTCAAAGCATGGAAAGATTATCTTTGGAATTCAAAAACTTGCATGGCTACGAGATCACAGGCATGTAATGTCTCTTCTAATATTGTGCCCCTACGCCACGTTCTATTTTGTCACTCTGCTTTTAGTAGCAACAGCAGAAACAAAGACCATGATCCTCAGCAAACTGTTACAGCTGAAAGACTAGTCACCCTAACAAGTACTTTACAAGAACATTTTTATGCAATATTACCACTTGCAGCTGTGCATTTTCAGACGATTCAGTTGATTACCATGGAGTCAGTTAATGCTTTTTTTTGTTATTTTTCCCAGTAATCCCTCACATGCCTCAGTCAATTAAACTTGAAAGAACATGAAGCAAGCAGATTATATCCTGGACAGCACAGGGCTGTATCTTCCTATCTTTTACTTTATCCTGAAGATGACTGAGTGCCACGTTCAATGCAGAAGCAAATGTATCAATCATACACATCCAGGGAGGGAGAGCAAGATTTACCTGGAAGACCATGGAAAATAAAAACCACATGGAAAATAAAAACCACATGGTATAATAAAGAAGACAGCTAGAAAACTCTTTGCCATCTCTAACTTCTACAGTATTACTAGCAATACTCCGTGATGTCTCTAGGATGTTGCTAGGACTTTCCATATTCAGAATATGATCATCAGCTTCTGATCTGCCAGAGACCCACACAGAGTAGCTTCTCATTTAAACATATCGTAAACTTTGCATCAAAAATGAGACACCACATGCAGTTGATGGGTCTAACAGAATGCTTGCATTTAATTTGTAGTGGTACTGTATTATAAAT